CTTATATCATTTGAGATGAAGGGTAGGATAAACGGGACCCATCTATCGCTAGAGTTGTCGTTTGGAGGCCTACGATTTCCTCTACACCTATCCTGAGCTACAGTTTCGTAGCCATTAGAAACGGCTATTTGCCGTGCCAAGTTCCGGGACTCCTCTCTCTGCTCTCTTCCCGTGCACACGTTGGTTGCTGTTCGAAACATGTTTCTTATAAGCGCCCTTTTCGTGTGAGAGGGGTGAGAGGAGAGGTAATGAACCAAGATATTTTTACTACTTGGCTTTCGGTACCACTTTGTAATGTAGCCATTTTCTGATAGGTGAATTTGTACGTTCAAAAATGGAAGCCATTTTTCTTTCGGCTTTTCTCGGGTGAACTTGATATACTCTGACTGTGCGTTTAACAATTCGAAGCATTTGTCCATTTCCTCTTGTGTTGAGCAAAGGACAAAGCAGTCGTCTACATACCTACAGTAGAGTAGCGGCCCGAGATCAGTCACCGGTGCTTCCACCTTAGACATAAATGCAATGGCAAGGCTTGGAGCCAGTCGTTGTCCCATTGCCAACCCTCTTATTTGAGCGTAGTAAGAACAGAAAGAAAGAACATTATCGAGTAAGGTTATTCTTTCGAGCGGTGCTCCACTAGATTCTAGTCGATGCGATTACAAAGATCCACATCGGAAGAACGAGGAACTATGGACAATCAACTCGGATCAACACGGCTCTGAGGAAGGCGAAGACGCTGAAACGTTCGCCGCATAAATGCTTGCGAACAACGTCGTATTCGCTTATGAATGAAATAAGATACATGTTGATTAACCGTCATCTGTATCACCTGTCGACCCATTGGTCGTCGAGTGACTCGAACAGGCGCCAATAAATCTTCCATTTTCCCCTGTCACGTGCAAAAGTACACCATTGGGTCTTGCTCGCCCTAAAGGTTCGTCGAGCATCGTGTCCTTGTTTTAGGCTTTTCGTGAGGAACTCTGACCATCGGGTGGGTGGTCTTCCTGCAGTAAGTTTGACATTCCTAGGATTTCAGTCACTAACGGCTCTCGTCCATCGGTTGTCGTCCAAACGTATTTACGAGTCCGATCCACTTTGTCACCAACAGTTTGCGCATAGAACAGCGTCTTTGATTTTTAATCAGCGACCTAAGTCCAAACTTCGCTGCGCATTCAATCACCGTTGAGTCAGCCTTTATACTGCTTACGCAACGACCAAGTTTCTGACGCATATTTTTAGGCAGTAAGTATCGTAGAGTCGAAAAGGTGGGCTCGCAGGCGGGTGTTCTTTGTTCTCTTCACTACTTCCTTGAGCCTCTTGAACGCTCCCCGACCACCTCGCTTCATTCTGCTCAACTTTGGAGCTAATTCGTTCGTCATGTTGATTTTCCGACCTAGAAATACTTACTTGAAGCATTCGAAGATATTTATTTCGTTGAACGTGAACAGCCCATACATAACCAATGCGTTCCTTATGAACATCGTCTTTGTGAGATTTAGTAGAAGGCCGATCTTTCCATAGGCTTTGTCAAAGTCGGAAAGCACCCATTCCTCCTAGCTAAATATTTGATGTTGTAAGAACGATGTCATCAGGAAAGCGAAGATGGTGTAAATGCCGACCATCAATCTTCACTCCAATATTAACCCATTCTAGTGTTCGCATGACGTTCTGGAGGGTGGCGGTAAATAATTTTGGCGAGATGGTGTCGCCTTGCCTAACTCCCCCTTTGACGTCAATATTAATATTGCTGTAGAATGGTGATACCTTGGTTGTGAAATTTTTGTACAGCTCACGAAGAATCTTTATGTACTGAATAGGGACTCCCTGACTATCGAGGGCTTCTATGACTGCTTCTATCTTAACTGAGTCAAAAGTCTTCCTTAAATCGATGAAAGTGAGACAGAGCGGTCTTCTGTACTCTCGCGCTGCCTCAATGAGTCTTGTTATCGTGTGGACGTTTTCCATTATACTGAATCGTTTTCGAAACCTTGCTTGCTCACATGGCTGTCGTTTGTCTAGTGTTTCTGTCAATCCTGTTTAGGATGACTCGAGTGAAAAGTTTGTAAACGAGAGACAACAAGCAGGTTGGGGCATAGTTGCTGATATCGTGGAAGTCACCATTCTTCGACAATAGTATGGTTTTGCTGGTTTTTTTCTTCCGCTGAAGTAGTGAACTTTCATTCGAATAGGTAACGTGGGAAGAGCCGAACCAGTGTGTTTACGAGGACTGACAGAAGGCTTTTTAGGTGTTCAGGTCTCATTCTGTCAGAACCAAGTGTTGTCCGATTCTTCATCGAAGAAATAGCATGTCGAATTTCGAAGGGGAGAACCAGTGGTACTACATATCCATATCTGCCTGTTTTATTTCATATGAGGGGAGGAGGACGTGATTATTAAGAAGATCCGAACAGTGATCGTGAATGATTTTCTCCATTGCATTTCTTGAAGCTGTAACTATTCTTTTTGGGCGTCGGAGTGTAATCATCTTGGTTTTCTAGTTGGAGAAGCTTCGGTGGGCTAAGCGAATTGTTTTCACAGCCTCTTCAGCTCCGACCATTACTGCTACTCTTCTCTCTTTAAGATCTTCTTTTATCACCTGTCTGCATTGTTTCGCATGTTCGGACGTGAGTCGGTGGCTGCCTGCAGCTCGTGCGATTCCACGCTGCCGTATCAGCTCGAGTGTTTCTGGAGACGGGCGTCTCTTGGTGACTTTCGAACTCTCAGTTTCCATAGCGCTAACGTGAAGGTTTTGAATGAGCCGATCGGTTTTGTCGTCGATCTTATGGAAAACAGCATGTTCTCAACAGCTGACTAGTGAATGGAATAGGTTCCAGTTTATGATAGTTTTGGAAGTTCGTGTTTTGAATTTAGAAGCTTTTTCACCTTTCGCGAGGAATGAAATCTAGCACGAAGGAGGTGATGGTCTGATTCCGTGTAGAAAACCGTCGGATTACTATGATGTGATCTAATTCGCTATGCTTCTCTCTATTGGGAGACGCTCACGTCCAGCGTCGACGGTGGGGCTTTTGGAATTGCAAGTAACCTTAACCATGTCTTGGTCGTCATGATAAACTCAGACACCTGCTCACCCTGCTCGTTCCATTCCAATCCGTCAGTTTCTATATGACGTTCTTTATGTGTACTTTTGGACCAAGCTGCTTAGCGTTAAAATCTCCAACGATGACCTTGAAAAACGTGTAACTTTCTTTGTAGAACTTCTTTAAATCCATATAAAACACTTTGACTTCTTGCTCCTCATACCTTGATCTCGGTGCACAGACTTGTCAAAGGCAATATTGATCAACATCTCCTCAATCGTAAACGTCTGATTAGGGTTGTCAGTTGGTCAAGTGAACCAAGTTCATGGCCAAACTATTGTTGGCCAGAACATCGACGCCGCCGACTCCTCTATTGTCGCATCTTCCGAGGCACAGTTCTTCTCCGTTATTGTAGACGGAGTTCAATTCCCGTCGCCTTCCCGTTTCAGCCACCCCGATGACATCGTGTTTCATCCTTCTTCCCTGCATAATCAAGTTTTCTATCGAGGATTCAGATGCAAGTGTGCTCGCATTGCAGGTACAGATCGTCGCCTTAGTCCTCTGAAATTTAAACAGCATAGTAAGGCCCTGAGATTTTAGCAATCTCTCCGTACTCGTCTTACGCTACGCTGCAGTATCGGGAACTCTTTCGGAGTGAGGGGAATGAGGCCCATTTATTTTACTGCGTTTAGCGTTTGATACCCAAGCACCGCTTGATAAGCTCTGAACGTGAGTGCTGAACATAACTCACATATAGCTTACCGTTGCCTTCCAGAGTACACGTGGAGCTTATTTGTTGGAAACAACCCCTAACTCTCTTCCATAATTGCAGGCTTTTGGCCGAATTGACTCGTAGAGTATAATCTGCATAAACAAGAACGCACCTACACACGCACACATGAATACGATTCGTAGATACAGAAAGTATGTGCGAAATCGGCGCAACAGAGACAGGGACTCCATCCCCTGGGTCAGCTGCGTATCAGCGAAGCAAAGATCGGTTTTGGTCCTCGCTTAACCTCCTCTCCACCACCTTGGGGATACGCTACGTTGCCTCGTCACTAACCGACGTGAGATCCTTCTGTGACTGAGATCCGTCGTTGATTAATCATAGCGAAGTTAAAGAAAAGTCGATTTTGAAATATCGCTTCTCTAGGGCGATCACGCTTCTAAAATTCGTCAAATATCCCAACTATCGGAGAATCGTCCTTATAACACCAAACATTAGCCAAGCGGAACGTATGCTTGACGATTTCGATAAAGCCTGTGGAAAGATTGGTCTTCGAGTAAATCTTGCAAAAACGATGTTCGTGAAGAACGGATTGGTTTCGAATGCTCCATTCACCCTCAATGGAACAAATATCTCCGAATGCTCCAGTTATATCTATCTAGGTCGAGAAATCAATATGATTAACGACCTAGCTCCAGAGCTGAGCAGAAGGAAACGATCGGCTTGAGGAGCTTTCAAGAGCATCAAAGATGTAGTGAAGCGAATAAAGAACACCCGACTCCGCGTTCAGCTTTTCGACTCAACGGTACTTCCCGCCCTAACGTATTGCGTCAGAAATCTGATCGCTGCGTAAGCAGGATGGAAGGTCACTCAGCTTTATCGAACGCGCGGTCGAAAGGACGATGCTAGGAGTATCCCGTTGCACACAAGTAAGGGATGGAATCCGAAGCTCCGATCTGCGTCAACGATCAAAAGTGAAGGATGCCGTTTTGTGCGCCAAACAGTCGAAGATAGGGTGGACCGGACACGTAATGCGTATGAATGACAACCGATAAACAAGACCCGTTAGTGACTGGATTCCTCAGGATTTCAAACGTATTGCAGGAAGACCACCGACCCGATGGTCAGAGTTCTTTACGAAAAGCCTTGAAGAAAGATATGACGCTCGACGAGTCTCTAGAGCGAGCAGAATCCACTGGGCTACTCTTGCACGCAACAGGGAAAAATGGAAGATTTACTGGCGCCCGTTCGAGTCACTCGACGATCAACGGGACTACAGGTGATACAGGTGGTATATCAGGAAAAGAATTTATTGAGAATATTCTCGTCACACATGACTCGTCTCATCTTCTTTGGACGTTGACAGGTGTGGCTTGTGGATGAACTGAATCTTCACACGGAAAAGGCGATGAACAGATGCAGTACAGAAACCAGATACCACAGAGCTCTCAAAGAGGGACCGTCTTCTTGCAATAATACAGTCGGTATCCACAGCGCCTCTATGGCACTTCCACGTCTAATGGTGATTTCATCTGTTCACGAAAAACGGTTTGTTATGGAAGAGACATGCTGCAGACAGGAGTCGTAAGAGACGGTTTTCATTCTCATTTCGGTGTCCTATTCAGATTTTTCCTATACTGTATCCATTTTCGTCGACCTTTCCTAATCTGACATTGAAGTCTTCAACAAAAGATTTGTTGGAGTTCTCGTTGCGGATTACTTCCTCCAACTGGTTATAAAACGCTTTCAGTTCGCTTTCATCAGCTTCAAAATTTGGTGAGTAGCAGTTAATGACACTTTCTTTTGAAGCGGAAATTGGGGAAGAATAGATAGGGTAGATAGGATTTCATGTGAGGTGATGAGATTTGAAATAGAGGGTGTGAGAGAAAGCCGACACCTTCCACACTTTGTGAGTAAACTCCATGAATTACAAGGGCGCCGTCAGCTAATGGGGGGGATAAACCTCCGCTGTGCAAGGGAGTCCGACACCAACGAACGTCTCCCAGCCTCGATGTTGCGGCAAACTTTCGGGAGCCAACGCTCTTAGAATTCGAAAGGAAATCAGATGTTTTGAACTCATAGAGATTATCATTTTCCAAAGAAACCCTTATTTAACCTTAACATTGATAATCCAAGAAGCTATTGATGAGTATTAGTGAACCATGTGTGCAACGACAAGAGATAACCAGAGAAAATTGGTTAGGTGTTAAAAAGCTACCAGCGAGAGCAGAACGAGGCGTAGATACTGACGATTTTAAATGCTGTCACAAAATAATTTAGGTCTCGCACACAGCATCCACGAAGTTCTTCGAACTTTCTTGCATGTGGCTTCGGCTGCTGCATGAGGATTTCCCTTTCCTTATGAATATCGCAGGGAGCGCGTGGTGCAGTGCTTGAAGGCGCCACTGCGGCACACACGTGGAATCGATCCCCGCGCCCATTATCCACCAAGCCTTCCATCCTTTCGCGTTCAGCAAATTGGTACCTATCTGTTGTGAAGAATACTGGAACGGAGCTGAGACAGTAAAACCGAAAATGATTAGTATTTGTGCTCCCAGGATCAATGCCGTCGACGGATGATTGCTGATGGCACTGGAAGATAGAAAACTACCTGAGATACAGGCGATACGAAGGACCCGCATGGTGTGGTGATGAGCGCGTTAGCCCTCGGAAAGGCTAATAACGCGTTCGTTCCTCAGCGCAGATCCCTGCCGTCCGGAGTTTTGTAAATATCTCAGCATCATTGTGGTTGTAGTAGTATTTATTTCGCATATTTGGTTATAAAGACAAGAAATATGCCAAACACAGGAATCAGAAACTTTTGCGAAGATCCACTTAGTTGCAGTAGTATTTGCTTGAGAGGCCTGTTCTCAGTAAATATGTTAACTTTAGCGCAATTTCATTTACACTTGTATGTTGCTGGTTCGACGAGCTTTTCCAGTTAGCTTTCGGAGAACTAACGCGTTTCCTTGTACATCCATTCGCCTCTCTGATCTTTGTTATTGGAGATTTGGTGTCCTAGAAGTAGGGTTCTCTTCCCAGGCATGAAAGAGAACACCATAAGAAACTACCTGCAAGAAAGAATCGATGATGGAAGGTAGCCGAAACTCTTTAATTAAACCTAATGTGATCCACTCGCTTGCTTCATTTGGGGTTTTCCTTTGACGAAAGGCGCATGTGGCGCTGTGGTTGGAGGCGACCTGCGATACACATGGGATCGATCCCCTCCCCATATGGCTCACCAGTTCTTCTATCCCTCCGGGATCGGCAAACTGGTACCAGAATTGTCTGGGAAGATAGCAGCACTGGCTCGATACATCGGTAGGCCACCGAAAGGCCAGATACGCATTCAGTCACCTGCAGCGATACTTAATGACGTTGAATGCGTGGCGCATCTCTCGGGGGTTTACCAACGCCGAGAGTTTTTAGAGCTTCCCTTTGACGTAGACCCCTCACCTTCGATTTCACACCTACTTTTCTTTGGACGAAACGCTTACGAACCCGTTCGTCCAATGACTACCTGGTCATGTATTGTGAGATCAAAGCAAGGAAAAACGTCGTCGAGATAAATGCAGTATCCGTAATGGCACCTCTTGCAAAACAACGCGGAGGGAAGTCTCCGTTACGCCAGAGTGCCTTCATGGTCTGCATTTCTCACTGGTCGTTGACAGCTTTTAAAGTTAGATGAGAGAAAACTAGCTGAGAGAAACGCAAACCAAGGGCCTTCGTGGTGCAGTGCGTAATATGCGATCCCTCAGTCCCTCAGAAGGGGTAATCGTAATTCGATCTAGCCAGGGGTCCATGTTTTGTGAATATCTCAGCATCTTTGTAGTTGCTTCTAAAATTACTTTGTCTTATGGCGTAGTTATGGTGTAGTCGATGAACGACGTATATTGTTCGCATCTCAGGCAGAATGTCAAATTTATTCTGGTTAGGCCTTTCTGAGCAGAAAGTGAAGGAAACTGAAAAGAATGTGGCTCTGTCAAAGCAGTTACTGGAAATCATAGCCATCGCAGAGGATGAGCTGACCACTATTGGCAAATCGAAGATGGATCTAACAAGAGTGCAGGTAGTTTCCTTTTCTTTTGTTGGTATGGTGAATGCTGTGAGATTTTCCTTGTTGTAGTTGGGATATCCTGTGAACTTACATATTTCTTTAAACTACTGAGGTAACCGCTTTTTCATAGGGAACTCTGTTGTACCAGTTAGGAACGAAGGTAAAACCACAGTGTGCGAAATACATAAACTTGGTGGTCCAGTTCATCATCGGTGGAGGAATCAAGACCGAAGCACAAGTATGCAAGTTTTTTCTGCGTTTCATTCATATTGGGGATAGGTCGTTCAAGTATCCAAGTAGGTAAGTAGTGGGACTTTTTCAAATGGTGAATGATAAATTTAATATCGATAGATATCTGAGACTGTAATTTTTCAGCAAACATTATAGGTTTCTGCTGCTTTGGATTATCTCTTAACTAAAAGTGTTCACGGCGTGGACGTAACAGCATTTGAGAAGGCATGTGGTGTCGGAGTTTTTGTCACTCATGACCAGATTGAAGATGCAGTGAGTCTCCTGCTTTAACCATAATGAGACTGAGTTGTTTGCAAAACTCCGGACCGCTGGTGTACGCTGTGTGGGAACGAACACGCTATTACCCTTTCCAGGGAGTAACGCGTTCACCACCACACCATGCAAGTCCCTCGTTTCGCCTTTCTCTCAGCTATGTTATTGACCTATAGGTGCTATCTCGTACTTTTTATTGTAATGTTACGATTATTGTTTACGTTGCTGGTCTAGAAGTTAAATTTATTCTTGTTACTGTCACCCGACACATGACGATTTTAAAGTCCAACTTTTAAGGTATCCGATGTTATCAATAAGTACAAAGAACGTTTGCTAACTGATCGGTACACTTTTAATGTGGGAAAATTGCTAGGTATGTTCTATGTGCCTCATTTATTGTTATTAATGGAATACCCTTTATTTAGGTGAAGTTCGATCTTCGCTGCCATGGGCTGACGGGGCGTACGTGAAGAAAGAGGTTGACCTTCAGCTTCTCGAAGTTTTGGGTCCTAGGACTGTCGATGACCTAATTCCTAGGAAAAAGGTCCCAACGCTTTGTTTTAAATGTTTAAGGTGCATTAACTGTAGACTTGTATAAAGATACCCGTTAAGATTTTTCCTCTACTTGTTTGGAATGTACACTTGCGCGTCTTTCCTTATGAATTTAGAGACATTAAGAAGGAACTAGATGACATCTACGAACGTTTTTGGGTATATTTTTTTTTTGTTATCACGGCTTTTTGAATTCAGGTAAAGGAGGAAAAACGTGAAAAGAAATCGACCGCTAGCAATAGGTTGGTAGCTGTTAACAACAGAAAAGAACAGAACGGATTGGAGCATCGAACTTTTGGAACGTCAACGCTACAGGAAACTGAAGACAGTAACGGTGAGATGATCGCATTTGTATTAAAAAGCTAAAGGATAAAGGTCTCGCCGTTGATCAATCCCCGATGGTTGCATTATGCATTCAATTTCATTAAGTATCATTGGAGGTGACTGAATGCATGTCTGGCCTTTACAATGACTCGCGGTGGCCTACCGATGTATCGAGTCGGTGCTGTTATCCTCCCAGACAATTCTGTTACTAGTTTGCCGACCCCAGCGAGATGGAAGGCTTGGTGGGCCATGGGCACGGGAAGCGATTCCACGTGTGTGTTGCAAGGCGCCTCCGACCACTGCGCCACACGCGGACACATCTGTATCTGTATTATTTGTCTGGAAATTTTAAGTCTAATCTTCTAATCCTAAGCAGATAGAATTTTCAGAAAGCGAAGGAAGTGCATCGATTGAAGAACTCATGCGCACACGTGCCCGTTTCCATGAGGTAGTCGAATTTGCTAACATTCATGGCTTCAGAACTGTTATCGTGTACCTATCATGTTTCCTTTAGGTGGGCATGAATTATACTACGGATGGTTACATATCTACACCTCATACGAAGGAATTATTACGCAAACACGTTGAGGCAACTGGTGGAAAGGTGCGATTCCTTTTTTCTACTGGTGTTAATCCTGTGTAGAGGACATACTTTTAATATTAACAAATCGTACTAGTTGACTTTGACAGATCCATTGTTTTATAATCATCGTGACGACTTATCAGTTTGACATTTGTTACCAGACGTTCGTTGATTTCCTAGTTCTAAATTTTCAACTACTACTGGTGTCTGGCGTATTAAGGCGCGTGTTGCGCACTGTTCGAAGGCGCCCTCAATACAAAGGGATCGATCGCCATACCCAAGGCTCACCAAACTTTCCATCACTCCTGGCTCGGTAAATTGGTGCCAGACTTATGCAAGATTTCAGCACTAGCCCGATACATCGGTAGTCCACCGCGAGTCAGTGTAAAGGCCAGATATGGTGCATTCAGTCACCTACATCAATGCTCCATTGAAGTCGAATGCATCGTCCATCCCTCAGGGTTTTATCAATGCCAATAGCTTTATTCCTTTATTGATGTCTGGTCTCCTTAGAGCATTTAGCTTTTGGAGTAATACCACATTCCGAATTTCCTACTGCTAATCCTCACTTTACTGATTTTCACAAACTTACAAAATGTTATTTGTGCATTTTTGTTGTTTATTTCAGTGTTGGTAGTGATGAAGTTGAAAGGTAATATTTTTAGGTCATCACAAGATTTCCTCCAGAACCGAATGGTGTTCTTCACATTGGGCACGCAAAGGCTATCAACATCAATTTCGGGTATGCCAAGGTATTATTTATCCTCATTTCATTTATAGCAGCGTTTTTTTTCTACAGCCTTTGTAGCTTTGTGCTGCCTCATACTGGTCTTATGTTCATAGGCTCATGGAGGTTTATGCAATTTACGATTTGACGATACAAATCCTGAGAAAGAAGAAGAAAAATTCTTTAAAGCTATTGAGAACATCGTTAATTGGTTAGGTTGGTCAGCCATATTGTCTTCTTATGTCTTATTGTTTTCTGTTAAATCTAGTTCAATTGCCGCAATCTTTCTTACTGTTTCTTTCATTTGTTTGTTCATCTTATTATTTCTATTCCAATGATAAAATACGATAACGAATTGGTCGCTTCAAAAGTACGTAAAAGCGTGTTTTAAGACCTGTATAATTGTGACATAGTCGCATACACTATTCGAACTCGTCTTCTAGGTTGTTTCAGGCTATACTCCAGCACGTATCACGCACTCATCAGATAATTTTCAACAGCTCTACGAAGTGAGTTCGTTTTCCTTTGAACGAAATAAAATAGGAAAAATAGAGGTATGCGATTGTTCGGTTACTTTGATGCTTCTGTTTTTAAACTTTAGGGCCCGAAGCTGCTGCCTTTTCTCAGACTTCCGAAAGTTTTTCGACAACTAAAATACCTGACGAGTTCATTACATGATCGGCGTTTAAAAGAGACTTTGCTTTATAATTTAGGAGGGTGTATGATTATTTAAGACTTATTTGCTCTTTGGAGTTCTTTGGATTTAAAGTTTCCAAAAAAATGAAAACGACGTTGAGGTGTAGAATTCCAAACGAAATCCTGGCGGTCATAAACACCAGTACCGTAGTTAGGGATGTGATCTTGCTTTAACACTCTCGCAAAGAGTGACTTCCATAGATGTCATAGTGAGGTTGAGAGAATGACCGGTGTGACACATATAGGTTCCATTTTCTTTCCGGTAGTTTATTTGGGGCACGGAAGTCTTTTCCTAGATTTCTTGTTCCACTAGTTAGCCTATCCAACGCAGACGCTATGGCGAGTATCGTCCTAGGAGAATGCCGTCTTAACAATTTCTTATTTTTGATTTTGCTATGAGAGACTACTTCTGAATACTGTGGTCAATGAAGAGACGGAGAAATTCCTCTACCTCGACGAACTGTCATCACATGCAGTGTGCAGCATCATTCTTGATAAACACTTTGTTGTTTCCTGATTTTCAATTGCTATTAAGACTTTTGGGTGCTGTATGGAATGAAGGAATATCGAAGCCGTGAAGTAAACGTCGCAATATTTCTTGCAAAGTCTATGCAACTTCACTAAATGCTAACAAGGGTCTGATTACATTGTGGACTAGTGTTTTTCTTCGTACACAAGAGTTATATATGGTACCAAAAACTGGAGTGTGGATAGAGGAACACGAAGCATATATAGGACGGTGAAACAGAAATTCTTTCAAAATGCCGAGAAGCACCAATTTTTTGAGAACAGAAACCACAGCAGGAGGTGGTGGCGCCACTTGAAGACCGCTGAAGTGTCGGTGTGACATCGACAGGTGTTACAGTAAGCCTAGCGAAAAACTACACGTCGTCTGTTCCGCAACAAGGCCAAAATTAGGCGTTGTCGCGAAAGTGTTAATTGTTGAACTGTTGCTTATCCGATTATCTTCATTTTCAAAATACGAGCTTCGACGAATATAGTGCACGTTTGGTGGAGTGCAAGTAATCAGAATTTCGACATGGCAAAACAAGAGAGCTTCTGTGCCAGAAACAAAGATTCTACTAACTTATATTACATAATAAAGTTCATTTTGGGCTAAAATAGGCTGATTCAAAATTGAAAGCCGTAGTTGTTTTTACGCCATATGGTTGGAAATCAACTCGCTACGTTGAACCGTGAGTATCAAACAGTCGTGTCGGTTCAGATGTGTGTACATTTTATTGTTAAGCTCATGTTCTCACAAAATTCTAGTGGGCTGTGGAGTTGATCAAAAAAGGCAAAGCATATGTTTGCCACCAACGAGTGGAAGAGATTCGAGGTTTTGATGTGCAGCCATCTCCATGGCGGACTCGGCCGATTGAGGAATCTCTGCAGCTATTCCAAGTAAGTGAACGTTTCCTTCCCTTCTTAATTATCAAACGTGAAAGCTTTTGCTTTTTTGAGACAAATTTAAGTCATCGAGATTGTTATGTTAACTTTGGTGAAACCTTATAGGTTAAAGTTTATCGTGTTATGTTTTCGTTTCATTTAGGATATGAAGAACGGAAAATTCGATGAGGGTGAAGCCACTTTGCGATTAAACCTTACTCTTGAAGAAGGTAAAATTGATCCTGTGGCATACCGCATCAAGTACGTCCCACATCCTAGGACGGGAGATAAGTGGTAAGTAATAATTTCCGTTCTTTTCACATATTCCATGTCTACCTTGTTTTCTTTTGTAGGTGCATTTACCCAACATACGACTATTCTCATTGTCTATGCGACTCAATTGAAAATATCACCCACTCACTTTGTACGAAGGAATTCCAGTCAAGGTATATCTTTCATATTCTTTTTTCATTATTCTTTATATTCCCTACTTTTGTTATGTACAAAGAACTACACTACTTAAGATTTTCTGTATTCTACCTAAGTTTATGCAGCCTTCAAAAATGTCCTTGACAATGGTGATGCTTGGTAGTACCTCAGAATTTGTTCTCTTGATAAGTACCATTTTCTCTTTTCTGCTTCTGAGAATATTCCTAGGGCTATGTGCTAAGTTATTTCGTTGCAATCCTAGTGCTTCATAAGGAATAATACCTTGCAGACGAAGTTCTTACTATGCGCTTTGCAACATGTTGGATGTTTATTGTCCGGTACAGTGGGAGTATGGCAGGCTAAACGTAAACTACACCGTGGTATCGAAGCGAAAGATAATGAAGCTCATAGATTCCGGAATTGTTAGGTAAGTCCAGCAGATATTTTCAATTCAGTTTGGATTAAGTAGCAATCTGAGCATATGGAGTTATACTGTATATTATAGCGGAAACAGCATTCGTGAAAATTTTATCTTGCTTTTCTAGTCTGCTGGTCTCTACACAGTTTGTACAAGATGTATGCATGACTGTACAGGTCAAGTATTATAATTCAACATCTATTCCTATGCTCATATCTTGTTACCTCGATATTTAGTAATTCTAAGTAATATCAAAATTCGTCGTAGAAGTGATTCTTTGTCTTATTGCATGTTATTAACTTACTTGGATACGGATACTTGGACGGCATCTCTTGGTTGTATGGTCTCTAGCATAATCTCCATTTTTCAAAGTTGTGTTGGTTTAACTATTGTGGCTCCCTGGAGTCCCGAAGTCAGCCTGGCCAGTCTGCCCCAGGTGCTCACCGCTACAGGCAGTCGCCGCTGTTGTGGATGAGATGGAGATTTGCCTTACCCTTAAGCTGGGCGTCCTGGTGGAACACCAGACTTCTTATCAGCTTAGTAGACGCTGCCGAGGGAATGAATCCCTCCGCTGTACATCGCAGCCCGACACCCAGGAAAATCTCTCAGCTACGATGAAGTGGGCTACTACTGTACCACTAACTATCTACTGCTTGCTATAATGAACGACGACAGATGGTAGTATTTGTATGTTTGACCACATTAATGGTCATGCCGGTGGTTCACTGGCAATAGACGGTGAAATTTTATTCAAAATTCGATCTCGAGTTGAAAATTTAATAAGAACCAATGAAAGTTTTTAATGTCAGGAACACCTAGTTTGTCAGAAACTCTTGAAAAACAGCGTTTTCGCTTCCAGTATGAATTGGCAAATATGACCTATGGAAAAGACTAACCACTTTTTCACAAAATAGTACTGAATGAGAGGTCTACTCTTTCAAAGTTTATTCACGTGGATATGTGTGTTCAGCGACTGCAGTGAAAGACCTAATTAGTTTGTGGAAACAAGTTGTGTGGTGGAAGTTGGATTCAGGCGACTTAGATTATGGCAATTAGATCTTGCAAGAATATGAACTCCGGAGAACTCAGATCACAATACGATATTATGTGTGCTTAGACAGTTGGTGAATTGCTAGTATTGTTTGCTTGTGAAACGCAGTGCTTTGTATTTCAACTACCACCGTAGATCATTTGAAAGGCGAAACTACACTTGCTTACTCAGGAACTTCAGAATTTAAGTTTGAGTATGGCTGTGCGTACTAGTGTGACTAATCAATTTAAGAGACTTTTAATTTCGTATTGGTTAGCGTGATTTTTTAGGGACTGGGATGATCCGCGATTATTTACCCTTACGGCATTGCGCCGTCGTGGAATCCCAGCTGAGGCGATCAACACTTTTGTAGCAAAGTTGGGACTGACAACGACACAAATGGTTATCGATCCTCATGTGCTGGATGCTACTGTCCGGGATTATCTCAATACAAGAGCTCCAAGGTGAGATAGGATGCTGCTCACTAATTATGGGTACACTTTTGAGTAAAAAATAGGTTCTTATTTTTATTTGCTACCTACTATTTTGTTAATAGCGACGTACTTTGTGAATTTTGCTTCCCAGATCAATCCCATTGACGGATGATTGCTAATAACACCTATAGGTCAATAATACGGTTGAGAGAAAGACGAAACGAAGAACTCATATGGTGTGGTGGTGAACGCATTAGCTCCTGGAAAGGGTAATAGTGTGTTCGGTTTCCACCGTAGACACCAGCGGTTCGGAGTTTTGTAGATATCTCAGCATCACCGTGGTCAATTCTTATAATTTCGAATCATTCCTCGTTAATCTGTGCTCCTTTATATGGTTGGGTAATCCGCTCTTTGCAAATTTTACAATTGTTTGTATCGGTTTATTTCTTGTTTCCGTTCTTAACAACTATAATAACTTAAGAATGCGTCATTTTCTTGTTCAGCAATCGCGACGTTTTTAAACAGCATACATTTACTTCCATAGAGAAACACAATACAATACAACGCTAGCTGACGTTTCGGCAGTATCGCCTTCTTCAGAGCCTGGAAGGGTATGCTGATATACAATCTACTAGGCCAAATGCTTCAATAACACTTACAAAAAGCCTAATAGTAGATTGATATCAGTATACCTTTCCAGACTCTGAAGAAGGCGATACTGCCGAAACGTCAGCTAGTGTTGTATTGTATTGTTTTTCTATGGAAGTAAATGTATGCTGCTTAAAAACCTCGCGATTGCTGAACAACAAAACGACGCATTCATATTCCAATGCCGAGGTTAATAGAAAGTCGATCCTATAATGGCTTATTTGTTGTTATATTGAGTCCCACTACAGAACGATGGCAGTGCTGGAAGGGTTGAAATTGACAATTGAGAACTTCGACGAAATGAAGTTCGAGCCGTTCGTGACAGTGCCCGATTTTCCTTCCGATTCCTCGTGCACAATGAGCCACAAAGTGGCTTTTGATCGTGTCGTGTATATTGAGAGGTCGGACTATAGACAGGTAATTGTGTTTTTATATCTATGTCATTAATTTTAGAAGTGGAACTGATATAGTACCACTATAAGAGTTACTTGAAGACATTTTGATAAATTGGGGTTAGTAGCCTGTGGATAAAAATGAACGGCGACATCTTTTTTAAGTCTGTTTTCTTTTCTGTTATAATCTGTTGATTTGCACCTGTCCACTCACATGACATTGTTTTTCCAAGCCTGCAGCACAACTTCAGCATGAGTAATAGAACTTGTCACTGTCGTGCTTTTCACGAATATCTAGGTTTGGAAGTGTTTAAAACTACAGTTCTCCTAATTTTTCTGAGATAATCCACTATAGAATTTCGTCATGTTCAAATGTATTTTGTTGATATTCCTGGCGGTAAGCTGTTTTTGATACCCAGTTGCAACTTTCCAGTTGTTGAGATGTCAGTTAGATATTGTAATAAGTTTTACCGCTTCGAACTGAGCTGTATCCTGTCATGGGGATGAGTAATAAGGCAAGACGACGTTACTTATAAATTGTCACGACATCGCATCGCTGAAAAGGCTCCTCGATGCCTCGTTCTTTAGTGAAATAAAATATGGATGTCGAAGTTGAGTCAGTGTTTACGAAACCAACAATCGGCTTCAGCAAGGTATTTAAGGATTTCTGCAAACATAGGTGCAAGTATTTTGCGTTTTGCACGTTAGTCAACGTTTGATTGCTCAACTAAGAAGGAATCGGCATCGGAAGCTTGTTAAAGATTTCACCGATAGAAGAAAAGTGGTGTTGTGAAACTCTCGATATGCACCTAAAACATGAATTATAGAGGACAACAGTTAATAATCGTGATGCGAATTTGATGAAGCGAATGGAACAGGAAGAAAGGATTATTTGCGAGATGGTTAGACAGAAGTGGGAACACGGGCAGAAATTGCAGGAAATACGAAAGAAGAGGTTTTACAATAAAAATTTAAAAAGGGTGACAATAATCAACAGTTTTCGCAACAAGAGGGTTCGACATCAACGGTGACCCTATAGAATTGGACAAATTTTAAGCCTAGTACGAGGACTGCTTCATTGTATTTAAGCAGCCATGAATTCTGAACGGCTTTAACTGCATATTAACGTATATATATATATATATATATGTATATATATATATATATATATATATATAT